AAAAAAAAAAAAAAAAAAAAAAATTCTGCATCCTGAGCACCCACTCCACAAAGGAGACCAAGGCCAGGTGCCCAACACTAATAAGGTACTGAGATTCTTTCATCAGGAGCAAAAGGCCTCAGGAACTGTGAGCAGTGGCCTAAGTGTTGGGAACATTTGTCTGACATGCTGTCCCCCTGATCCGTGATTGAGTGTTATGTCAGCGTAATCTTCATGTATTCCTGGGTTAAATTCTTAGATGAGCCTCAGATACTGGCCTTGGGTGACTCGGAGCAGCCCTCTATCCCTGGATTTCTGTATTCCATTGTTCCTAGGCCTGGGTCACTAGCCCAGCATGGAATTCTAAGGGACGCCTTTTGGTAACACAGCAGTTGACAAATCTGAAGACATTTCACATGGTTCTTGGCACAGTGGCCTATGACTTCTACTACAAGATTCTAACCATTGAAAACCTCTCAGCAAGGGAATTTATAGAGGAATCAACCTGTGTTGGACAATCCAAGTTGAATTGGATGCTGAGAAGTATTCTTGTTCTCTGTTCTCATGATCTCAGGGATGGTTTTAATTCAGCAAGCTCAGGACACCAGCTTGTAGGGGTCAGGTTGCCATAGGGATCCAGAGCAAGGAAGATGTCCCCAAAAAGGACTTGCTGGTCAGTAGGCAGCATGAGACAAGCATAGAAGAGACTAGTGTTCAGGCAAGTCTTTGGTGAGCAAAGACTTGAGGGTCACAGTAGAACAGGGTCCCCAGGAGGGGTGGGTGGGGCTTGAGCTGCAGCTTGCAGAGCAGTTAGGATTTCAGGGAGACAAGGACAGAAAAGGGAATGAGAGATGTTCTGAGCAGGAGGGCTGCCTGAGAGAAGAAGCCAGTTAGCCCAGCATCCTCCGGGACAGACATCTGGAATGTATACGAAGGGGAAATAAGGTCCTGGAGAGTGATGACAGCAGCTAGCCTCCCTCAGGAAGAACCCACGATGCCCCCACACTGTGGGCTCTGCCTCTACTGAACCCAGCTATTTGCTGAGCTTCCCCCTTGTCAGTGCGAGTCATCCCTGGGTGGATTCCTCCCTCTGTTGCTGGGTGTGCCTGATGTCCTCACAGGCTTCAGCATGTCTGCTTGGCTCCCTTTCCACGGACACTTTCCTTTCCTAACTGTGCTGTGATCCCAGGAGACGAGCACAAACAACATCCAGATGCAATACCTGGTCTCAGGGACACTTAGACCAGCCTGGTAAAAGACAGGCATTGACTGAGTGAGTGAGGAAGGAAAACTGGCCTGGTGGTGCTGCACGGGTGCCATCCTGGTGCTGCCGTGCCCCTGCGTAGGGCCTCTCCATCCCTCCTGGAGACAGTGTTGCTGCCTGAGCTTCCTACAGCCTCTTGGGCCTCTTCTGTCCTCAGACTCTCCCTCAGTAGCTTTCTGGATGGGCTGCCTGCTCTGTCCCAGGGCCACCTGCCTCCCACCTCCCTGCCCCCACTGGACTCCACATTCCTCTCCTCTCCGGCCCCTCCCTGGCCCTCATTGTCTCTGGTTCTCAACTCTCTTGGTGTGAATCCTGAGGTGTTGGGTTTGGTGGATACTCACTTTGCCCTCGACCAAGAATTACAGATAGTCTCACAGGAACCGTTCAGGTTGCCATTTCCCTTCAGTGTTACAGTTAGTGTTAGAAAAATCTCCTCCTCTATCCCCTGAACAGTTTCGTTGTCTATTCTTTCTTTGATAACTGTGAGTTACAGGTATTCACTAAGACATCTATTTGTATGCTAGAATTCTTTACTATCTTGACTTCTGGATAATTAAGCTGCTTAGCAGCACCAAGCTTTGAGTAGAAGTTATTTTGAAATGCTCATAATAACTTTTGGGGTTTTTTGTTTGTTTTTAAGACAGTCTCACTCTGTCACCCTGGCTAGAGTGCTGTGGTGTGATAGCTCACAGCAACTTGAGCTCAAATTCCTGGACTCAAGTGGTTTTCCTGCCTCAGCCTCCTAAGTAGATGGGACTATAGGAGCCTGCCATAATACCTGGCTATTTTTTGAGACAGGGTCTTACTCTTGCTCAGGTTGGTCTCAAACTCCTGATCTCAAGTGATACTCCCACCTTGGCCTCTCAGAGTGCTGGGATTACAGGTGTGAGCCACCCAGCCATAGTAACTATTTTTTAAGAAACATCAGAGTAAGAAAAGTGTGTGTTATTCTGAGGACTTCAATTTTTAACAAAGGTCTGTGGAGGCTTGGCACCCATAGCACAGTGGTTATGGCACCAGCCACATATACTGAGGCTGGCAGATTTGAACCTGGCCTGGGCCAGCTAAACAACAATGACAATTGCAACAAAAAATAGCTGGGCATTGTGGTGGGCACCTGTAGTCCCAGCTATTTGGGAGGCTGAGGCAAGAGAATTGCTTAAGTCTGAGAGTTTGAGGTTGCTGCGAGCTGTGATGCCAC